ACTTTTACTCAACTGTGGCTCGCTCTTGAATTCTTTCCTGTGCGAAGCCAAGGACCCACACTTGGTGGGACCTGTCCCAGGGGCTCAAACGAAGCCTGGGACACAGCCCTCCTCACGCCCCGCATCTGTTTTTCCTGCATCACTTGCACATAGTAAGAACTCGGTGCACACTTATTGAATTAAACTGGCTTGAATTCATCTGAGTTGAGTTAAATCGAATTAAGTCAAATAGAATCATATGTAATCCCATCAAATCAACTGTACTGAAGTGACTTCACTCCATGAGGAAGTATTTCTGGGTCTCCGAAGAGGGCTGCCAGTGTCCCAACCTAGGCTACCTCCTTTGGCAAGCTCAGAAGAAGAATCTCTAAAGCCACTTCCTCCAACGTGGGTGCACAGCTTCGGACCCAATTACATGCTGGTCTGAAAGTGTAATTGTAGATCCAGAGAGTCAGTTGTAACAGTGGTTCAGGTCATTAGCCGGCCAACCACCTGAGTCTATGTCAGCAATTATGTAAATGCTCCTGCAATTAGATTTGCATTTTTATTTGATTGAAATAGCTTTAATATCATCTTTAAATAAAAGAGAAAAACAGCTATATACGCATTCTTGTATCTGCCCAAAGCATGTCAAGTCAGTGGGACATCCCATCATGACAAGGCTGCTGCAGGCCAGAAGGGGATTTATGTGTGAATGTGAGCATGTGCGCGTGTCCACACAGACATCTGCCTAGTCAAGGAAATAGCTTGAGACGGCTCTTTTCCTGCTCATAATGCTTCAATGGGTTATTTTTGTGATGGTAACTGGACACTACAAGCATTCATCAGCTTCAGTAAGGCAAAATCGTATGTCACTCACCTGCTGGGTTCACCAGAGCAGATGTCTGGGTCTATTATAAAATCTCTGTAATCCTTTGAAAATCCTGCAGACCAGTTCTGGGGTCCCTTCAGCCCACTTCTGAAATGCCTGGTCCCAGGAACCTTAAGAACTGCTTAGAAAGCACATTTTACGAGGTAAGTGGTTCTTTAAGCACCTGCTCAGCCTACCTCGAATGGTGTTGGTAAAAGATTTCTCCCAGGCGTACATTTTAATCAGTTTGATGCAGGTCAGAAACTCATTCATTGTCTGAACTCGCTTGTCTGTCACCGAAATTGCTGATCTTCGGAAAACTGAATTGAGCTTAGCCATAAACATCTGAAATCAAGGTACAAACACTGTTCAGAGAGAACTGCTGAGTTGCATTTGGCCTAAAAATCCAGGGATTGGTGTATAAGTTCCAGGAAAAGTTCTAAAGGGAGTTGGCCCGAGATTCTCAGCCAAATCTTTCCCCTGAGTCATGGCCACGGTGCTCTGGGGGACACCCCTGGGGACTGGGCAGGTGATACAAATGCATGTATCACCAGGAGGCAAGGAAGTGCTGGGGACTTTGACAAATTGAAGAAGCATGGCCCCCCTCCCCCAGGGCATTCCAATTCAAGTATTTTTTAAAAAATCTATGCTGGGCCAACAAAGAAAGCAAGTCTGTGAGCACAAAGGCTTCCGGGCTACGCCCCGGGAACAAAGCCTTCTGTCCGCTTTGGTGAGAGCGTGTGTGACAGACAGGCGTCAATTGCAAAGGCCAGCCATTACCTGGATGGGGATGAATATCACATACACGGCTATCCCGATGAGAGCTGTGGGCCCCAGGATGAAAAAGGCATAGACGGCGCAGACAGCCATTAGGATAGGGATGGTGGCTGGCAGGGGACAGAACAAGGCAGCTTCAAACAAGGAATAACTGTCACTTGATAGTACATTGAGCACCTGGAATGAAAGCACACGGGTTCAGGCTTTGGAAGGGCCACCCAAGCATTTCCTCCACTGAAGGCTTTCAGAGTGGCTGAGGGGTCAGAGGAAGGAAGAGAAAAACTGTCTTCAAGGGGGACGGGGGTGTCAAGTGAAATAAATGCGCAGCCTAGAAGTTGAGAGTTACGTCTTATTTGGCTGGAGGACTCGAGCTGGGATGACAGCCTCTCAGATCGCTCTGAGAAACTGCTCCCAAGAGGTAGGGGAGGAGCTGGGATATATAGGAGCTTTACAAAAAAGACCAGGTAGTTGGAACAATAAAAGATTGCTTGTTATCTAAAGAAAACCAGGCAGCTCAAGTTAAAGAATTTAGCACTCTTCTATGTATAGGAGGGAGCAGATATTTGGGCTCATTGAATTCATTCCTTTGACAAGCACCTACTATCTAGGGCCAGTATCCTGTCCTTTCTTGTTCCGAGTCCCCTCAGAGGGCACCATTGTGAGTGGCTGCAGAACCTGGGCTGCAGGCTTATCCTCGCTGGTGGGTGGCGGCAGCAGCTGATGACTTGATGGCTTCAGCATTCTTTGTTTACTGATATGACTAACAATATTTTTCATTCACAGGGGTCATCTAAGAACCAACATGGTGAGTTTTCCGGGGCCTCATTCTGGGATGACTTTGGAGAGGCTGGTCTTTTAGAACTGAGAATCCAGATGAGGGAAGGCTTAAAGAGCAGTATTAACCACCTTAGGAGCGTGCTGGCGAGGTTGACAGCGGCTCACCCTGTATCTCTCTCTCCTTTCTCCTTATTAGCTCAACTCTGCTTAATCAGGGCAGCTGTGTGCCCAGCTAAAAAAGACCACATTTCCCAGCCTCGTTTGTGGAAGGACCATGACCACGTGACTACGTGAAGGGCAATGAGATAGAAGCCAAGGTGTTGACTGGAACTCTGGGGATGAATTCTTAAAGGGAACCCACTCAATGTGGAAGACATAGCCCTTTTGTTCTTGTCTCCTTCCTCCTCCCACCTATCTGAAACATGGGTGGGAACACTAGACCCCTAGCCTCCATCCTGAACCATTATGGGAGCATGTGCTAGGGTAGTGATGAAGAAAGAGAGAAAGTTCTGGAAGTCCTCATGAAGGAGGAATAATAAAATGGCCACATTTAGGCTAACAGATTGCTTATTCTTATGCTTGCCCTTAGAACGGTCAACAAACCTGACCGACCAGTTGCTACTTACAGCTCTAGGCCTAATGCTAAAACTAAAGCTATTGATCTAACTGTTTCTACTTTATTCCAGTAACTGAAAGTAATAATCATGCTCAGTCTCTGAGTCATTTCTCCAAGGAGGAGGTCGCAGGACTGTAACCTTACAAAATAGCCTGAATTACTGAGAAGACCACGCCTTGAGTGCTTACGAGATAAAGAGATGTAACTGCTAGCCTCTACACAATTGCCCTGGAGGCATCGTGACGCCATTCTAAGTCTTCTGATGAGAAAATGATCCTGTTGATTGTTACTGAAGCATCATTGTTTGAGCTATGGCTGTATAACCACCCCACCCCAACCCCAAGGTGAGTTCCCAGTTTTGAAGGCACTAGCCTGCTATGAGTCCCCTTTGCCTGGCAAAGTAACAAAGCTGCCTCTTTTCTTCTAAGCTCCAAGACCCGGTCTCTGAGTTATATGGCTCATCAGGGATGGGGCCGATCTTTCAGCAACACCCACTTCAGCCCTGGATCTCCCTCTTTCAGACTTCTTTTACAGAATGAAATAACTGCATCTGGTTTAACCCACTGTTATTTGGGGTTTTCTGCTGCGTGCAACTGAACCTAACCGTAATTGATACAGATGCTTTGAGCAAACTGGAAGACCAGCTGTGAGAAAGAAGCAAGCCTTCTCCCTTATCTCACACCACCTAGGGTTCCCTTGGCCAGGGAAGTGTTCTTGTGTAAAGGGTGAAGAATTTACCGCTAAAAGTTAAGGGCTTAAGAAAATGTCAGCTCTGAAGTCCAAATGGCATGGTCTTTATTATGACCTTGGCATCCCGAACACTACACAGTTAGAGTGATCAGACCCATTAGTCAATCAATCTTAAATGCCCGCATGTGCTTCATACCGCTCCGTACTGCTCCAGCTTGAATGGAGCCCTCCTTTCTCTGAATTCTTCCTGTGCTTTGAGTCTCCCACCACCTCCTTTAGCAGCGAGGTGGGGCGTGATGGGCAGGACATTGACAGACAAAACTGAGGCAGGTGCTCCATTCAGGAAGCACATCTCATGCATATTCAGGAAACCTGAGGCTTAGTTTTCTAAAATTGGGCTCCTTCTGGCCCAGCTTACCTCACCAACTGACACGTGCGTCAGCGTCTTGAAGGACACCAGGTTTTCGAAAACCAGGGTGGAGACAGCCACCTTCAACCGGATCGCCGTGCGATAATTGATGGCCCAGGCAAGGGCCCAAAAGAGGACTTTGGTAAACTCAGTGGTGAAAAGGGCCACGCACAGGCCGACGCCAACCCAGACCTTCCTGGAGATGCTCTCAGTCTGCTGGAGGATTTGGTGAATGAGAACCGTCTGTAAAACAGCACCATGGAGAGAGAGGAGAGGGCCACTGGGGGCTGAGGTTGGTGTAGGCGGCCTCGGATAATGTCAGCAAGCTGACTTTATGAGGCAAACTTTTTAATTAATTTCAGGGGCTGCCGCTGTGCTCGGCAAAGATTAGCTTTATGAAAATTCGCCCCTAAGGAACTCAAGGATAATGACAATGTACTAAACCCACCAGCTCGTAGAGAAAGTAACTAATGACATTCTTTGCCAGTCTGGGGACCCGGGAGACAAGGCAGAGGAAGGGCTGCCCCACTCACCGGCCCTATGGCCGCCATGGTAATGCAGAGGATGTTGGCCACGATATCCATCAAAACACGCGTCCTCTGGAATTTCCAGACCACGCGGCCCAGAGAGGCTTTCTCAGGACCCACCTTTTCTACCTCTTCATCCCAAAGGACTTGAAGTCTGTGATAGAAGAACAGGAAGAAGGAAAGGGACTTAACATCTCCATGTGCTATTTGAATCTACTCTGATGGACAAACCTTTGCAAGAATGCTTAGCACAGCCCCTGTGCCTAGGAGTGGTGGCTTCAGATGAACAGCATGGGTTCTCCCTTCTTCTTCTGCAGGGTGGATGGGACATGGGAGAAGCAGCAGGCAAAGCCTGGACACAGCACCAGCTGGTATCTGGCACCAGGCACTTTCCAGGCCCTCATTTCCTCCTCCTCCTGCCCAGAATACCAGTTGTGTTAAAAAGATGGAGGCAACAGAAGAACCAAGAGAAAAATCTTCCCCAAGGCAGGGAGGAGTTTGTCAATTTCAAAGGTCTGAAAAGAGACCAGTGCGACAAGAATGTGGTGACCCAAGAGAGGGGCTGGCCTGACACCAGAAGGTGAGGCAGGGCCAGACCCCATGGGACCTCACAGTCCTCGGGAAGGAGTTGAGATTTCATTCCGAGTGCAAAGGAAGCCACTGCAGGTTTTTCAGCCGATGCAGCAATATCATTGTATATATCTAAAAGGACATCTGGCTGCTGTGAGAGCAGTGGATTCTGGGGGTGGGGAGCAAGACAAAGCAAGGAGGACACAGCAGGAGATGGTCACCATCCAGGTGGGAAGTGTCAGTGACTTGACACTGGGTTTAAGGAAAGGTGGACAGGGGGAGACCACAGGACTTACTGATGAATCAGCTGTGGGAGAAAAGGAGAAGGGGGATTAGGGATCCCAGTTTTCTGGCTTGGCCAACTGTGGGAATGGAGGTTGCAGAGACGGGAGAAAAGGAAGAGGAAACGTCACCCCGTGGGGCTAAGGATCAAGTGCAGCTTTAGATATGAGATGCTAGTGACTCATCCCAGTTCAGCTGTCCAGTTGGATGTTGGGTGTATGAACTCGGAGGCATGGGCTGAAGGTAGCCTGTTACTAAGGTTGTCAGTGTGTGTTTGGTGTATAAGCCTTCGGAGTGGATATGATCACCTGGGAGCAGAACATAGTCTGAAAGGAACGGGGATCTAAGATGATGTGGGGTAGATGGAAGGAAACATTAAAAACAGACAGAGGTAGAAGGAAAACTCAGCGCTCCACAAGCACTGGTCCAGCCCCGAGCTCCCTGTGCTCCCTGGAAACTGTCTCCAGACTGTAGATTTTGGAAAACCCCACTGCCTGAGATTTCTGCAGGGCATAGATGAAGGGAAGCACAATTGCAGAAGCAATTGCAAGGCCATGATTAGCACTTCCAGCCCTTAAAGCTTATGAAGCCAAAGAGAAGGAGAGCTCCAGAAGAAACAAATGCAGAGAGAGGGCTTGGAGGGCTTCCTTGTTGTTGAGGACAAGAACCTCAAAGTTCAATGCAGCTGTTAGAAAGAATGAAGTTGCTGGGTTTGTGCTGTGGGAAAAATCTTTGTACACTCTTAGCTGAAAATAGCAAAATGGCAATCAATAGTTAGTATGCTTTATTTTTTTCTTCAGAGAAAAAAACATGACCTGTGAGTAGGGAGGAGGAGGAAGAAGCATTGATGTGCAGAAGATGGTAGCAGAGGGTTTAATCAGAGAAGAGGCAATTCTGGCAGGATGCACACAGACATGTCACAGTGCTGATCTCTGGGGCGTCGAGGTGCAGTAGGGTGGGGATATTTCCACTGCTTCCACTTCTGTCACTTTCCCCTTTTTATCATGAATATGAATTAGGTTGAACCAACGAAATTTATGTTTTTGCAAGTCAAAATTGTCAAATATCGGCAGTTGTCATTCAGTTCAACCCAAACATCTTGTTAATATGAAAGCCCAAGGACGATGTTTAAAGTGACACAAAACACAATGCTTGGAACTGCATGCAGCAGCCCCCATGGGGTCCAACCAGCACAGAGCAGAGTAAGATCCTGGCCACTCCTGTCCTGATGGAGTGCTCCTACAGACAAACCCCTGGCCAGAATGGTCCTGAAGCCTCCAGTCATAGCCCTCAAGCAGCTCTTTCTCCCCACCAACTCTCCCAATCCTCACCTCCACAGAGATTGGGTCAGGAAGTTCAGCCCAGCCCACATCTCAGAGATAAACCACTGAGAAGAGCCACCAGGACCCGTGGGCATCCATTTTCGCACAGGGAAATGGGAGCACACGAAAGTGATCGCAGGACCCTTCCCAAGGTAGGCTCCTCTCTAGATACGACCCATACAAACACTGGTACCTTTTGGCGTTGACGTCAGATGAGTCATACGGTGACAATGGGGGCAGGCTGTCCACAGTCAGCGTGTGCTTGTAGCCTCTCACCATCACTGGTGTGAGCCAGGAGAATGTGGCAAAGGAGAGCAGCCCTGCGTCATCCACAGGGTTGGTTGCCAACCTAAGACAAATGAGATGCTCGGTGTCCCAGGATGCTGGGGTCATGGCCTTGAGTCTCTGACTGTAATTCTTGACTACAGCAATAACCACAGCCACCTCCAGACCGTGACTCACATCCATCAGTCCCATGAGCAGTGGTGTGCTGGGCCAGCTCTTACCAGCTTGAGAAAGTTGGCTGTTAGATTTTTAGGAATTCTGTAGGTCAGTTCTTGAACACAGCCAATATTAAAAATTAAATTACATGTAAGTAAATTATGGTAAACATAAAGGCATTAAACACTCAAAACTCATAGCTTGCTAAATTATTTTATTAGATTTTACTAATTTCTATGATCTTTAGATTCTGTAAGTCTATGTGGTAGAAATACCACATAGAGTAAGACTCTGTTATTGTGCGTCTCTTCCTGACTTTGCATTCAGTGACATCGCATTGGTAGTTTGAAGTCAGCCATGATAGAAGAATTTACCTCCTTCCCTCCAATCCTTTTCATGGTTTACCTTGCATAGGGTCTCACTGGGATCATGGTCTTCAGGCTGGGGTCATATCTCTCTACAAAGGATCTCCGCTGGCCTCGCCGATCCAGATCTGAGATAAGGTAGGGGACATCGCCCACCATCTTGATGGCAGTTTAGAACCCTGGGCTCTTGGTTTAAGGACCTTCACTCTGCAGCAGAAAGATGAAGATACTCTGGAATGGGATCAGGCAGCTCCTACTTCACCCAGCTCCCTTTCTCCAACCACTCAGACCTGGTTTCACCAGTTACCTTCCACATTTATAGGGGAGTATGGCCAGAAGCCCTATGCATCTGTCAACTCCATCATGAGCCTTTCTTACTAGCAAGGACATTCTGTTCCTTTTCTTTCCCATTTTGGGTTTACTGGGAGCAGAAAAGCCTATTGCAGGTTTTCTATCAGGAGCTAGCCCATGGCCACATCTGAGTCCTAGCCCTAGCAAAAGAACCTCAAGAAGGTCAATTTTCTGTCTTAGTGTGACCCAGCATGAAGTTTGTCACACATACATATTCCCTTTTCCTCCTTGATTCTTTCAGATACCCAGGAGTTTGTGTATCCACATTCCCCTATCTTCACATCCAAGGATCAGAGGACTTCAACAAGGCCACCTCTCAGGACCAGACACATCTGAGCAAACCCACACCCACTTCTATGACCACTGCCCCAAAGGGAAACCAATAATCCAGGTGGAGAGCACACTCTTTGAAGTGCCTGTCTAGTCCACAAACCAACCATTACATTCAAACTAAACCCAAAAAGTGAGAACAATTCCTAAAGATTTTCTATTCTAGTTCCAGTTCTCCCCTGAGACATAGCTTTATGCCCTAGGGTTCCAAGACATTCTGCTTGCTATATCCTGTAAATAAATTCTCCTTTTTAAACTAAACTATCCTGAGTTGGTTTCTGTCACTTGCAATGAGAAGTCTCACTATTATAATTACATGAGTTCCCATCCTATGGTTTCTCTCTGGATTTTTTTACTGCTAGAAACAAAAAATAAACCGATTCCCATCGAGGTTTTAATGGCCAATAAACCTACGGCATGGCAGGGTTGGAAGTATCCTCAGATGTAATCTTTTACAAACTCCTCATTGTACAGAAGAGAGGCCCAGAGAGGGGAAGAGACTTACTCAAGAATATATGTAGTAGTGACATCAACTTCATGGCTAATGCATCCCTCATTTTTGCCTCCCTACCTCCTGTCCAACAATAACAATTTTGCAGGTGAATCCATAGAAGGTCTGAGAAAACCTCAGAACCCCTAGAAAGGCTGACAGAAGATATTTCTCTCCCAATGGCAGTTAGTAAAGACTGGAGGAGGTGACTCCTACTTCAAATGTGAAGATAGCAACACAAAACTTCAAAGAATATGAGAAATCAAGGAAACATGACACCATGAAACCACTGAAGACAACAGTAATTTTCCAGTAACCATTCCCAAAGACATAGAGATCTGCAAAAGATAAAGATAAAAGGTAAAGAATTCAAAATAGCTGTTTTGAGGAAACTCAATGAGCTACAAGAAAACACAGGAAGAAGATTCAATTGAATCAGGAAAAATGATACATAAACAAAACGAGAAGTTCAACGAAGAGACAGAAATCACTAAATAGGCCCAAACAAACATGCTGGATCTAAAGAACACAACAAATGAAATGAAAGATATAATAGAAAGTATCAACAGGAGAAAGAATTTGTGAATTGGAAGACAAAAACTTTGAAATTATCCAGACAGAGGAGAACAAAGGAAAAAGAATGAAAAGGAGTGAAGAAAGCTTACATAATTTATGGAATACCATCAAAAGAAACAATTTTGAAATTACTGGAGTTCCAGAAGGAGAAGAGAGAGAGAATGAGGTAGAAAACTTATTTAAAGAAATAACGACTGAGGAATTCCCAAATCTGAGTAGAGATTTGGATATCCCAATTTTTGAAGTTCATAGGTCACCAAACAAATGGAACTTAAAGAGAGCCTCTCCAAAATATATTTGAATAAAACTGTCAAAAATCAAATAAAGAGAGAATCTTAAAAACAGCAAGAGAAAAGAAGCTAGATACTTATGAGGGCATCCCTGTTAGACTATGAGCAGATTTATCACCAGAAATCTTACAGGCCAGGGGAGAGTGGGATGATATATTCAAAGTATTAAGGAAAAACTGCCAACCAAGAATATACTATCTGGCAAAGATACTAATCAGAAATGAAGGAGAGATAAAGAGTTTCCTGACAAAAGCTGAGGAACTTTATCACCACTAGGCCTGTCTTATAAATGCTAAAAGCAGTTCTTCAGGCTGAAAGTAAAAGATACTAATTAGTAATCTGAAAACATATGAAAATATACAAAGTACTGTTAAAGGTAAGTATATAGTCAAATTCAGAATATGCTAATTCTATAATATGATAGTATGTTAACCATTCAATTCTAGTATAAAGGCAAAGGACAAGATTACTAAAAATAACTATAGCTAAAAGAATTTGTTAATGAATACACAATATAAAAGAGGTAAATTATGATATCAAAATACAAAGGGAAGGAGTAAAATGGTATGGTTTTGTATGTAAAATGTTAGGTTGTTATCAGCATAAAGCAGACTATTATATCATAAGATGTTTTATGTAAACTCATGGTAACCACAGAGCAAAAACTATAGGAGATTCATAAAAGATAAGAAGAAGGGAATCAAAGCATACAACTACAGAAAATCAATTCACAAAAGAAGGCAGCGAGAGAGGAAGAAAGGAATAAAGGAACTACAAAACAGCCAGAAGACAGTAAGATGGCATTAGTAAGTCCTTTTGTATCAGTAACTAGCCTAGATGTAAATGGAGTAAATTCTCCAATCAAAAAGCATAGAATGGCTGGATGGATTTGAAAATAAGACTTAATTATACACCACTTACAAGAGATTCATTTCACCCTTGTGGACATATATAGGATCAAAGTGAAGGAATGTAAAGATATTCCATGCAAGTGGAAACCAAAAGAGCATGGGTTGTTATATCAGAGAAAACAGACTTAAGTCAAAACTGTAAGAGGAGATAAAGGTTATTACATAACAAAAAAGGTGTCAATTTTTCAAGAAGATATAATGATTATATTCCCAATATTGAAGCACCTAAATATATTAAGCAAATACTAACAGATATGAAGAAAGAGATAATAATACAATATTAGTAGAGGATTTCAATACCCCACTTTCAACATGAGATAGATCATACAGACAAAAGCATCAATAAAGAAATATTTGGCCTACTTTAGGCCAAATGGACCTAACAAATATATACAGAACATTGCATCTAACAGCAGTAGAATACACATTCTCCTCAAATGCACATGGAACATTCCCCAGGATATATCATGATAGGTCACAAAGCAAGTCTTAACAAATTTAAGATTAACATCATCTCAGGTATCTCTGACCACAATGGAATGAAACTAGAAATAAATAGCAAGAGGAAAGATGGAAAAATCACAAATAGGTGGAAATTAAACAACACACTTCTGAACAACCAATGGGTCAAAGAAAAAATCTAAAGAGAAATTTTTAAAAATCTTTAAAGAAATAAAAATGGAAACAAAACATACCAAAACCTATGGGATGCAGCAAAAATAGTTCCAAGATAAAAGTTTATAGTGGTAAGTGCCTATATTAGGAAGAAAGAAAGATCTCAAATAAACAACCTAACTTCACACATCAAGTAACTAAAAAACAAAACAAAACCAAACCAAAAAAATAAGCCTAATAAAGTTAGCAGAAGGAAAGGAATAACAAATATCAGAGCAGAAATAAATGAAATACAATACTGAAAAATGATAGAAAGGGCCAATGAAAGTAAGAGCTGTTTTTTAAAAAGATAAACAAAGTTGACAAACTTTCATTTAATCTAAGAAAACAAGAAAGAATAAAGCGATAAAATAAATAAATAAATAAATAAATAAATAAATAAAGCGAGAAAAGAAAGGGTAGGCATTACAACTGACATTGCAGAAATACAAAGGATCGTAACAGTCTACTGGGAACAACTGTACACCAAAAAATTGGATAACAAAGAAGAAATGGATAAGTTCAGAGAAATATACAACTTACTAAGACTGAATCATAAAGAAATAGGAAATCTGAAGAAACCAATTATGAGTAAGGAGATTAAATCAGTAATCAAAAGTTTCCCAAGAAAGAAAATCCCCAAACCAGATGGTTTCTTTAGTGAATTCTACCAGATATTCAAAGGAGAGTTAGTGACAGTTTTTCTCAGACCCTTCCAAAAAATTAAAGAGGAACACCTCCCAAACTCATTTTATGAGGCCAGCTTTACCCTGATATCAAAGTCAGACAAGGATGCTTCAAGAAAAGAAAACTACAGATCAGGATCCTTAATAAATATAGGTGCAAATACTATCAAGAAAATACTAGCAAGCTGAATTCAACAGCACATTAAAAGGATCATATGCCATGATCAAGAAGGATTTATCCCTGGGATGCAAGGATGGTTTGACATACACAAACCAATAAATTAATACATCACATTAACAGAATGAAAAATAAAGTCATACGATCATCTTGATAGATGTAGCAAAAAAATTTAACCAAATACAATACCCATTCATGTTAAAAAAATACATAAGCTCAACAAATTAAGTATAGAAGGAATATACCTCAACATAATAAAGGCCACACATGATCAACCCATACCTAACATCACACTCAATGATGAAAGATTGACAGAGTCTCATCTAACATCAGGAAGACAAGGATGTTCACTCTCACCACTTTTGTTCGACATAGTACTGGAAGTCCTAGCCATAGCAATTAGGCAAGAAAAGAAAATAAAGTCACCCAAATTAGAAAGGAATAAGTAAAATTGTCTCTGTAGATGATAGGACGTTATACATAGAAAATCCTGAAGACTCCACCGAAAGAACTATTAGCACTGATCAATGAATTTAGTAATGTTATAAAATAAAAAATCAACATATAGAAATCAGCCATGTTTCTATACACTAAAACAAGATATTTGAAAAAGAAGGAAAACAATCCATTCACAATAGCATCAAAAACCATAAAAATACTTATGAAAAATTTAACAAAGGAGGTAAAAGATCTGTACACTGAAAACTGTAAGTCTTGGAGAAAAGAAATTTAAGAAGAGGCAAACAAATGAAAAGATAACCTGTATTCATTAATCAGAAAAATTAATATTGTTAAAAATGTCCATACTACCCAAAGCCATCTATAGATTCAGTGCAATCCCTTTCAAAATTTAAATGGAATTTTTCACAGAAAT